AAGAAAAAGAGGGAATAACCCATTAGCTCTCATCGTTCCACTCTATCCTTCATTCAACGGCTCAAATTTTCCGTCCCTGAGTCCTCCCCCCCCCCCCGCCACCTATCCCTGCAGGCCGGCCTCCATTTAGACAATTAAGGTGTTAAATGAGCCCTAAGGGTCTTATAGTCAGCTGTGCATTTTGAGGGATTGTCTTTTACATTGTATAAGGCTTTTTATTGCACGGGGTGTTCGTTTCTATATCTCCTGAGGGCAAATAGTCCCCACCCTGCCCTCTCCATGGGGTCAGAGGTCACTGGTGGTTGGGATTCAGTGTAACGGTCAAAGACAGGAATTGCAAGTAGGTTGGACGCTTGAATTTAATTCCCCCTCTGTCTACGGTGTCTTAAAATTCAGTTTTAAGCATCAAAATGTAAAAGTGAAAACATGAATGTGAGAGAAAAGGCAACATATCAGACAGCAAACAGACAGACAGGCAGCGTTAAATGTGGAGCAGACACTTTTAATCAGCTGTGTTAGTTTTCAAACTCTCTAAAACAACATTTTCCCCTTTAAAAAATCACCACAGGATGAAATCATACAAGATGCCAAGTAGTTGTACTGACACAGAGGCAAACTATTGCATTAAAACAGCACTGATGAAGGTCTGGAAGGATAATTGGAGGATACAAGTACTTCCTTAGCTGGAAAATAGTCTTTACCGCACTACTCAGATATAGTAAATGTTACAGAGTAAAGGAGCAAAACCATGAAGCAAGTCGGTAATTTAATCTCTAAAGCATTTTGACTGGCAGAAAAATGAGCAGCAACTTACTCTCAGAATTCATCAGCTATGCAAAGGTTTGTGAGCACAGCAGGACTTCCAAATAATAGCTGGTTTCTGTCCCATGGGGTTTATAATGTCAAGAAATTACCCGACGTACAGTGGTGATTTCCCACCGTGCCTACGGTATAAAGCCCCAGCAGGGTTTTTTAAGAGGATTCATCCCTGGACCACCGGGGCTGCTTGGTTTTGCTGAGCTATGGTTTAGATATTAAATGCCTTATCACTCCCACCAAGGTCTGGTTATTCATAATGTGTGAGAATGAGATACCAAAGGCAACTTCTAGCAATTTTGCACCCAAAAAAGTGTTAGCGTAGCTCTACCAGCTCCACGTTTTCACCCTAAACACACGTATGAATCAGTATCTGGCTTGTCGCAATATAAAGCAGCAGGATTCTGTTCCTCTATATTATTGAGAACCGATGCTTTAAAGGATCAAAAATCTCAAAATACAAGATGTAATTTCTTTACACACATCTGGAAAATGTGACAACATTTGGGATTCATGTGCAGCCGAACAACGGCAGGCGATCGTAGCGGAGCACTGGCATGTGAAGAGTGGAGAGCGTGAATGCCGGGGTGCACAGATGTGGAATGCCTGTTGCTCATGTTTATTGAGGTGTCTGTTGGAGGTGTGTTGAGGGGGAAGAGCTGCTGTAGTGTTTGGTTGAAATAAAACCTGCAGACTTGGTGGTTTACATAAACAACTACTACGTCTCTGTGACATTACACGGCGGTTACTGCAATCATGGAAGATTTCATGTGTATGAGAACGTAAAATGCCTCCTCATTTTGGGGAAGCAAGAACATGTGTAGTGCTGACGCAATGTAATTTGCACCATCTAGCATGTAGGAAATCATGCCTGTGATGAACAGTGGCATGAAACAAAGCGACCACTTCTGCTTCCCCCTGCACAGGAAGAGTCAACATAACAGGTTTGTTGTAATCACTTCTGTTATTGAAATTACATATATGACACAGTCAGAGACGGCATCAGAGGCAGTATTGTCGTTGAGTGAGTGAGCGTTAGATATTGGGCTTATTTGCACAATGGTTCAAAGCGTGGCTGCTTGACATGTTGAGTAATGGGTGTTGTTAATGATATAGTGCGCACATACAAACATGTAGGGGCTGTTCTGAAGTGAATTTGCCTAAATCACTTAATGCAAAATAATGTGTGCCAGCAGTAATTGTTGGTGTCTTTCCACTGTTAGCGCGCTGTCCTGTTTTTGTTCTCTGGTTTTAGCAGAACAGTGACAACTTGTCTCAGTCAAACCAGATCCTGTTAGGTAAGATGTTTTAATCCTCCTTACACTGGGGGTTATTCTCTATCTGACAACTGCAGGCGTTCAGTTGTGCGTTTATCGCCCTTAAAGAATGTAATGAATCAATATTGAATATCTGTCGGCCGCCTCGCTGCATCTGCTCCGTCAGTTGTCACTTCCTTCACCCGCTGAAGAAACACAAGTTTCACAGCTCTTATTTCCTTGCGCAACATTTTCTCTAAACATACAGCCATAGTACACGGCGGCTGAAATACTTTTTCCTGTGCATGCTGTGGTTCATTTATTGGCTGTTGCGAGATATAACATTTTGTCGATGTGTTGCTTTTTTTTTTTTTATTAAACATCTCTAAGAGTCTTTGCTGTAGTGTGCAGAACGTTTTCTTTTTTCTTTTTTTGAAGTCTAGATGTGGTCGGGGGCATCTGACCAGCTGAGTGGGGTATCAACTGTGTGCTAACTGCTGCTGCTTGGGTGTTTTAATTAGGACAGAGAGCATTTGTCTTGTTGTTTTTCTTCAGACTTGCCTTGTGGCTCAGCTGTCTGCATTGTGATTGATTCCTCCTGACCACAGATACACAAACTGTGGTAATTGTTCATGTTTTAAGACGTTACTCAGCTTTTCCTTGATGTTTTTAAGATGTGGAGAAAACAGCTGAGCAGAAGTGTACATATCAAGGAAACAAGAGCTGTGGAAACAATTTTTGGCTTGTTTTTTTTTTTTTAATATGAGGAAACATGCATTAACACATCTGATGTGTCAATTGTGACTTTCACATTTACTTACATTTTTGGAGATTAGGGATACTGCGTAAAGATGAACTCCTCTGTTTTTACGGAAACACTTCCAGATTAACCGTGATAACCAGGATTCTTGTGGGTGTTGTCTCTCTTCTCATCGTGTATTCATGACTATGTAAACATAAGATATGGAAAACAGTCCATTTTCCTGTGAATTGAGGCAGAACTTGATTTCAGTCTCCAGCCTTGAACCTGATGTAGATACTGTTTACGCTGCAGAACAAGTCTACTCCCTAATTACACTATTGTTTCCAATGAAATGTTGGTGTGATTTACTCAGAACCGCACAGAGGAGAAAAACAACTCTCTTAGCCTGGCCTTCCAAGAAAATAATGATTCCTTATGGTTATATACTCATTGCAGTGCGATGCAGGTAAGCATGCCTGAATGTGTAGTAGTAACAGTCTGGAGCGGCTGCTGACCTAAAGTCATTTGCGAAACATTGGAGTTTTAGTGTTTTATGAGCCTGATGGTGCCAATGCATTGAGACTTTTTGCACTAATAAAAATGTGATTTAAACATTTAAATACTGTTTTAACTTTTATAGTTTTGTTGGATGTGGTCAGTTGTAATAATGGCAAAGACAATGATAGATGAGACAAGTTTCACTTAAGTCCCTGTAGAATAATCACACGTGAAAGACGTGACAGGAGGGAACAAAGGTAGAAAATACTTTAAAGTCTCTGAATATTGGTGCAACATGCTGTCTTTGAGCAACCTAACACCTAAATATCAGCACAGGGTGGGAATAGTAATAGTGTAAATAGTGACACAAATCAAACCTATCATTCATGCGTTCAGAGTGTATAAGTGCAATGCAAAACCTGAAGTTTCTAAAAGTACAAGATCAGAGCAGGTGGTGGTTACAGAGGACTCTGCGTGTATTAGTCAGCGTAGCTGAATGAGTGGTGGCATACAGTCACCACAGCCTCCTGTCATGACTCGTTGTTCAGCATGTCCAGCACCTGCACCCGAAATTTATTTCCCCACATGCTGCTGACTTGGTGGTGTGCAGCTCTTATCTCGCCCTGACTGATCTGAGACCTCCCCAAACCCAGACTTCTCAACATTTTGAACTCGAGCACACGGCGAGTGGGCAGGATAAACTGTCACTCGCTGTTCGAATAGTTGACAGTAGGGAACAGACATTATTGATACCAGAATACCAGAAGGTTGTTTCTTATAACAGAGACTGCTTTGCATACCTGAGCACTTTTGGGAACAGGTATGTAGGAGAAGCATCACCGCCCACAGAAGTCGCAGAAAAACTCCCCACTGTCTCTTACTTGCAATAAAACATTTTAAGGAGGGGAAAAACACACCAGTCATACCTGTGCAAAACCTCCACTTCTGAATATTAATTATTTGTGTTTTAACAAACTTGAGACAATGACACTGATCATTTCTGCTGGTGGGCTGAAATTCGTCTGGTCTCAACCAGGTGAAGAAAGTGACGGTTCTTCCTGTGATTTCACTTCCTCTTGTTGTTGAAGGCTGAAACATTTTGTCCTGTCTGGTCTGTTTGTTTGAGTAAATCTGCAAATGTTGCACAACGAACATAAACTCAGGCCCTCTGTACAGTATTTATGCTTCACATGGATTTCATACTGAAATAGGGCATTTTCTTAACTTGTGATTTGAGTTGACAGGGTGTCGCTGTAGTCATCGCTGTAGTTTTCTGCTCTTCTGCAACTACAAAACTTCAGTCAGGCTCCTGAAATGTGAATATGTTCCTCAAATAATACGTTGGACTTGTTTTATTTCTTTAACTCTTTATATGATAAGGGGGTTGCAAAACAGGGAAACAAATACCATGCGCAATAGCAACAACAAATTGCAACATGCACAGAATAAGGCTGTGGTTTTTGACTCATCAGACCAGTATCAAATCAGACAGCGTTAAAGATGTCCAAGCCGATGAACGGAAAGTTTTAAAAATAGAGACATATTTGACTGATTCGATGCTTTGGGGGAAGTTGTTTTTGTTTCATGGCCACAATAAAAAGCTTGTACCCTTGCCCTTCAACTGAAGGCACTGATGCCAGCAGTCAGTGGGGAAGTAGCAGTCTGACACTTTTTTTTCTCTCCCTTAGGTCTTTGTAGTCTGTCAGCAAACGCTGCCTTTGCATCCGCTACTCGAACGCTCGGCTGCCGGCTTTGGTTTCTCCCCCAACTGCAGGAAAAACCATCGAGACAAGAGAGAGGCCTCTGTCTCAGATCTGCAGCTGACCACTGACTGCATGTCTCAGAGCTCCGACCGACCCCCCTCCTCTTCCTCCTCCTCCTCCTCCTCCTCTCACTTCTCCTCAAGGACCCACATTTTCACACAATCATAACCTTCAAACCTCCAGCCAGCTGCTAGCCGCTTCACCACAGACACGGTCGGCTCTTTCCCTGCCTGGACAGAAGGATCAACCATCGTTCCCCCGATTGGTGCTCCGTCAGCGGGGGAGGGAGGGGAAGGAAAGGCAGCTGAACGCCGTCCTGGAGATGAAGCTGCAGGCCGTCATGGAGAACCTGCACAGGCAGCAGAGGGCCAAGCTACTGATGGAGCAGCAGCTACAGCAGCAAGCCGCCGCCCAGCACACTCAGATCCGCACAGGTGGAGGAGGGGACGAGCCCATGGGGAGCCCGGCCCCTGAGACGGAGCAGGCCCAGATGGCAGCGCTGGCGGCCATGCGTGCTGTAGCCGCCGGGCTGCAGAGGGTGTCGGACAGCCCGATGTCAGAGCGCAGCAGCGGTGGCGAAGACGATGGTGACGATGACGACAACGATGAAGGGGAGGAGCATTACAAGGACATGATGGGGTCAGATGAGGAGGAGCAGATGTAAGTACTGAATTTTTTTTTTGGGTCAGGTTGCTTTAAAAACACGTCATCTGTGCGAGCGGTGGTCTTCATCGCCACATTCTGTTTTTGATGCACAGCAAACAGAAATGGGACGAGGAAGACTTTGAAGGTGAGATGGAAGAAGACTTTGACGACGACCTGGCGGAGGAGGGTCTGCCGACGGGCCATGACACAGTGGCTCCCGGGAAGGGCATCCTCCTGCTGCCCCACCGTCAACTCCACCCCCACTCCCAGCTGCTGAAGGCCCGTCCTAGTGTCGACCAGGAGCCCCGCGTAGCCATCCTGCCTCCCCACGCCACACACAGCCAACTGGGCGGGCAGGACCATGGAGAATGGACCTACGAGGAGCAGTTCAGACAGGTAGGATGTTTTCATATACCTCCTGTTACTGTCACCTAACTAAAGGAGGGACAATTACATTTAAATAAACATCGTTACTGAACATTCAGTCATTACAAAGTTTGATTATGTCATTATGGAGGTCCATATCCGCTTAAAATATCCTAAAGTCAGCTACTGTAGCAGTCTGAGGATGTTAAATAAATGTAAAATGTTGGTTGTTGACCTGTGAGCCACATCTGGCCTTCACACCTCTCACATCATGTCACTTTCTCAGCTGCACATGAAGTAACCCGACCAGGGTGGGAAATTAACACCAGCCACTGGCCAAATGTTGATAAACCCTAAGCTGAGGCTTTAAAGTTTGTCTTTGCCACCTGACATTCTGGCAGGGTGCAAAGGTTCTGGTCCGAACAATCACTTATTCTGGTGGAGCAGCTTAGTACCCGCTGAGATTTGACATTCGCTAACTAATGTGGCCTAAGAGGGGGGGAAAGTGTAGTTTCCTGTCACGAATAGGACTGCGAGCTGAGGAGGAGACGCTGAGGACATTGGGAAGGGAGGGGAGGGGGTGGGTTTAGGCTACATTTTAACAGCCTTACCATGCCTGCGTTTACTGTAAACATGCTAGTGGGTTGGATATTATGAGGGAGGCCCCGCTGGAATAGGACGGGCTGTTTACGTGAAGGGATTTAAGTCTGTCAACAGCTAAGTTTAGATGGAGGGCTGCTGTCGAGAGACACTCACTGTTCACTACTGATAGTAGGAAAATGTTTAGCTTAATTTACTTGGATTTTATGTCACACTTGCTACATAAAGGGATGTTTTGTCTCTTAGTTTTCTGATTCTACAAATCAGATTGTCAACTTAGTGCAGTATGAAATGAGATGAGGGGAAACTGGATCATTACAGTAAACTTTTCTTCTAAAAAGTGAGACACAAGCCTTTGAGAAGTTATTTATGTCATACAAGGAGAAAAAGAGAAAACTCCAGCAGTTTAGAGGTAATAATAGTAGTAATAGTAATAATTTGTCTTGTCAAATGTAAAGCAGGAACATTGAGCAGCATTTTGAATGTCTGTAATTGAAACTATTTATCAGTGAAACCTTTATAATTGCCTCTGCTCTTAAAACTAAAAACTAAAGCAGATTTACTGGTTTACCCAGCCACCATTTTATGCAAAGGCAGCTTATATGACATAATGGAAGCCACTATTGAAATGCAAACGCACTCTTGGCCTATCTCTAACCATAAAACATGTTTAACGGTATGAGCAGCAGCTTGTCTTTTATCTGATCAGAGATTAGTAAACCCCCCTTTTTAGAAGAGAACTAGTTTGGGGATTGTTTTCCAGGAATGTATATTGGTGCCTTCAGTATGTTGGAGGTAAATTAACTTCAGCGCGTCTCACCCAGCCTGCATGTGCGTCATTTTTAAACCCAACCACAGATTCTGTAATTTAAGGCCCATTTCTTGTAATTACAGAGCGAATGGAATAAAACTCCCCTAAAACCTATACTCTGCTTCTCTAAATAGTCCACCCCTCCCACTATAAAGCTTTGTGTGAATGACTTGAATTGATACTCGCTACAGTTAGTGGTTTTCAGGTAGGACATTCGTTTTTATCATGACATGTCAGTCGGTCACCGACAGTTACATAATCAAGACAGCCAGTATCTTGGTTGTGAAGATAGTGTTACCCAATCCATTGTTGATTAAAACAACCTGCCTGTACAATTTCAAACTCCTCCCACTATGGCGACCAAACTGGAGACTGTCATTTTAAATCTTCTGCATTTAAACATGAGATATGCAGCCTCAACGGTCACGTTTGCGGGGAGTTGCTTCTCTCAACTTCCTTACTGCTGAGAGTTTATAATATTGTGATGAATCCATGATTTTAGTCTTACACATTATTCACACAGGACTAATTTTGACCTTGGATGATTGCCGTGATTAGTAATAATTGCAGCTTTGGCCTGTGATTACAATTCTCTGTGTCTACAGTGTTAAAGCGAAAATGACAGACCGGTTACGGTGAAGACAGCCTGTCCCCTGATAATTCTAACTCCCATGCAAATCTGACTCAGTGATTTCAACCTTAATTTATATTTGGAGGGTGCCATTTGTCTTCTGCTTCTTCTTTTTCTTCTGAAACTGCCATTTGTGGTTTCTCTTTGTCGTCTGAAAAGGAGATGGTAGTTAAATCTACAGACCACAGTTTTTTAAAATGCATTTTCAGTGCAAACTTTCACATTATCTTGCTCTATCAGGAGGTTAAAAGGTGTAAAATGCTGTCATTATATTTTAATATCTTGTATGACTCCAGTGAGGAGTAAGTTATGTAGTAACTTATTGCTCGCATAGCAGAAATAGCACTATAAGATGACTAAAAGATCACCAAAAAAAAAGTATATTATGCATTAATGGTGAGTATCCAGCAGCTGCTTTTGTGGCAGAAATGTAAAAATTACATATACAAATAAATTCTCATTTAACAGCAGATTACAGTCAAGTTGTTACGTATGTTTTTTTTCAGTATTTAGTTCACTGTGTGACTGTGTTTTCTTTAAGAATTACAAATGGTTGGCATAAAAATGGATCAAATATTGAAAAGGAAACACATTTTAAACTGGTTAAACTGGCCCCTTAACCAGCAATGATCATATTGTTTCTCCTTTCTACATGAAGACAATAAGTTACACTTCCATGTGGAGTTGAATCGGGTGCAGGCTGAGTGTTTCGAGGGTGGGGAGGAAGGGGTTAAGGCTGTGCAGTTTATTTTGGGCAGGTGGGTGGAGGCTGTTGGAATGTGCCTGAGGGTGGGTGATAATGTGGCCACTAGGAACCCCAGATCCTCAGCAGAAACCTGGTGTGCCTCTATCAGTGTGCAGCAGTTGGAGCTCTTCAAACTGAGAACTGTTCCGTCTTATGTTCAAGTCATGTCTCGCCAAAATATATTGTGTATAATGCCTCTGGGGGATCACATCAGCAAACGGTTCCTGATCTAGTCCAGCGGGAAAAAACCTCTCCGGGAAAAAACTTTAGGTTGTAAGGAGAAAAAATAACTGGAGAAAACCTTAGGAGAGGAATTCAAAAGACAGATCCCTCTTCTCACATGACAGGGGATTTAATAGGTTAGGGGAAATGGCAGATAGAAAGGTGAAAGGAAAGTTGTGACACAGCGAAATCTATCGGCAGGCTAATAACAGATCCAGTCCTAATGTAGTGAATCTGCTTTAAAGAACATTAGTAATATGAGGCGGTACAGTGAGTCCTTCCTCACAGTTACGTAGGTCCAAGGCGCCGTGTAGGTGAGGAAACAAACCCCACTTTTAGGTGAGGTTTTGCCCCCAGGTTGTGTGTGGCTAAGACGTATCAGCCAACCTGCATTCCTGGTGGATCACCCAGCCACCGACATCTCTCTGAGCTGAAAGGTCAGACTAAATCAAGCCACAAGTTGCTGTCTGTTATGCTGTCTGATTACTCTGTGGTTGAGTGAATTAATCAAAATATTCAAGGCACTTTTCCAACAGTGTCATATCTGCCTGTGGCAGAGCGCTGCCAAATTAAATGAAGGCCATGATTTGTGCAGATATCAAATTATGCCCGCATCATTGGATTATTTTGTAATTGAAACTGATTTGCTTTGCTGGTGGAGTGCCATTTCAACTGGGTTATTTCAGTGATACCAATGCAACCCTCCCCCATACATCTGCCCTTTTAAATATCCATATCAATATCACTCTTTGCATTGCACACTGCATTTTTATTTCCAGGAAACATTCACACTCCTTTTAAAGTTAATGATACAAGCACTGTCCTACAGCCAATAGGCTTGCATGCATCTGTTCCACCAGTCAAAGGCTGGAAAGGTTTGCAATGAAATGTATTTTCTCATCCGCAGTGATATCTAGCCACGCAGATACTGTAGCTGTTTAAACGCCAGGAGGTTTGTAGACCATCCAGAGTATTGGGGGCATTGTTTTGGTAAGAAATGTGAGCTTATAATGTAATTTTCACTGCTTTGAGCACCTTAAACTAAACACATTTACTTCCATTGTATTTGGGAAGCAGAGAAGAGACGGATATCTTAAAACCTCTCAAAGCTACCTGCATTGTTAGATAGATTTCCACAACTAAGAAGACAAAATACGTATATCTTTTCTTTTTTTAATCGTATAAAATTAGGATCTATTGGCAGAAATGGAATATAAAGGTATGTTTTAACTCGTGCGGATGGAGCAGGTCCTTTTCTATGTTGAACCATGTTGTTTCTACAGTAGCAGTACAATAGTAGTTTCTACAGGCTTGGAACTGGCGAGGTTATACACTGCTAGATGCCAGTGACTCCTACACAGTGGTCTTTTAGTCTTCATCTTAAAAAATAAAAATCCCACTATTTCATCTTAGCTGTGTTTGCTCGTCAGCCTACCCTTCCTTGTTGAACATGTCTAGCACTTAGCAGTAATAGCTATCTAAATAAAACTCAAACATTATGAATGTGAAAGATGAAGGGATGAGAAAATTATATTTTTATTCACTTTTTTGTTCACTTTTTTACTTCATTTCACCGTTTGCCAGTAAGTTATTCCGTCCATAAACATGGTAGCTCTTTGACCCCCAGAGCAGCTCTTAATTCACAAAATATTTGTGGACGTACAGTTACAATCTGTTTTCATTAATGTGTTGTCTCTTCAATGCTATGGTATACATTCATATAACTGCCCCACTCCGCTGCGCCCTTTTATAAACAATATCCTCCTCAGTCCAGAAATCATCCAGAGAGCCATGTAGGGCCTTTGAAGTCTCCTCTCCTGTGTCTCTGTCTGCGTTAAACACCAGCAGCTGGGCAGATGGAGCCCAGATGGACAGTAAAGTAGGGATGTCTTTAAAAATTCATGGCACTCACCGTGATCAGGCCGAATGGAGGGGTGATGGCATTAAACATTAAATTGCTCACACACACACACACACTCATTGAGAGTGGGGGGAGGGGCTGTTAGTGACTACAGGAAGTG